ACTTTGGAGTCACACATTATATACAATTTTTAATTTATACAATATCAACTATATTGCCCACCACAAAAAAAATTACTTTTTAATATAGTATTGTCCAGACATATAGTATAATGCAAATATATAGTTATACAAATGAATTCAGTTGGGCTTAATCAATGAAATAATGTTTCAATATTGAAGAATATCAAGATATAATGGGCTTATTGAGAAAGGGTATACAATATATATAAACCAGGTACTAATGAACTTAATGGCAATTCTGCACATTTGTAATGTTCACTTTATATGCTTTTTAGAAACTAACTTTTGTGAAAGCAACTGATCTGTACAAATATCTTGAGTATATAATGAAATAAACAGAAAAACCATCAGCCTTATGGAAGTTCTGATCTCTATAAGACCAACATCAGTTTTTGTAACAGAAGATCACTTGGAGATCAATACAAACAATGACCTTCAACTGTGTAGGTGTGCTCATCTTAATGTTAATTTCTGGTATTATTAAGCCTCAGATGTTAGCACTGTGACGATGACAACTATGTAACTCCCCCCTGCCAACCAGTCTTGGTGAATGGATTATTGAATCTTAAATAAAAGATGAGAGGGTTTGGGAAGTGGGGATGGAGAGGTACAAACAAACTTTTTCTGCCTTGGTATCCCTAGGGATCACTTCTAACAGCCAAGAGGAATGGGACATTTCCCCTAGCAGACTAAACCCACGTCAACCCCTGGGGAAGAAAAGGATTTCCTAACCACATTACTCACACATTTTCACAAGTCCTAAAAATCTACTGTCACCCCAAACACTACTGTATAAGATAATGACTTTTACTTATTTTTGAGAAGGGTTCACAAAACCCTTTGAGAATCTGAAGGAAACAATAAACCCTCTCCCCATAGAAATGCATATTCAAACATTTTTTGTTCATAACTTGACTTGAAATCCTAGGTTAACATCATCAACAAAGAGGGGTTCAGCTATTGGGAAGGAAAGGTGTTTACTATTCCAACCACTTAGCATTTCCAGAAAGCCACCTCACAGCAGGAGATAAAGAGCCTCTACCCGGATTCCTTCCCTAAATGCTGGATATTGTCACTCATGTTGACAGGGTGAAAGAGAAGTAACTGTAGGTATGGAATTTCTCTCTCTCTCTCTTCCTCTCTGTTACAATAATAACGTTGCCAGTTAAATGATTTGCAAATGACAGCAAGGAGATGAGGACAAACTGGTTTCCAACGTTTATGTGTCCCTCCAACACTGTCAGGGTTGATTTGACAGATACAGTTGGCTAGATGGACAGCCCTTTCAGTGCCACCTATCTTTTCTGGAGCTTTGTGAAAATGCAAGAGGACATTCTCACAGGGAGATGATGTTTGACCTTTTGGTCAAGGATCAGTTGAGTTAAACTCTTCATTAAAAGCTTCTAAACAAGGTAGGAAGGATAATTCTTTCATAATCACTAAGTGATCCGTTCTCTGACACTACTACTTTGCATATGGATAAATTACATACTGTGAAAAAATGTCTCCATGGGAGCTCTGATGACCCTCTTTTAATCCCTCTTCTCCGTAAGTATCATACTGTTTCCGTTTCTCACTATCTGACAGAACCTGGGAACAAAAAAGATCATGAGTTGGTAATGTTCAGATAAGGTGCATTCATATTTATGGTTTTTCAAAACTCTAATACTGTATCTAAGATTTTAGTGAATGTAGTTTTTAATCATATATAGTATTAAGGCATGTTTATAAAGTTTTCTTCAGTAGACTAAATTATATGATGCATCGCTCATTTTGTAACTTCCAGATTGCTAAATTCATGTTTGTTTTTTGTTGTTGTTTTACAGGATTGTTGAGTGAATGCCTGAGGAGGGGGCATGTGTCTAAAAAAAGTGCTGAAAGAGTGGCTCAGAGGCAAAGAATTTGGAAGTGGGGTGGCTGAGGGAAGTAAGCTGGGTTGTTTCAACCATCTCTGACTCTCATTAGTGCCAAAAACAGTAAATTAGGACAACCTTAAAACTTGCTAAGCCCTACATGTCTATAGCAAATCTCTCCCCTGACCACACACATTAAGAGATTGGCAAATCAAGGGAATAAAATGATAGACTCTCCCAAAAGGCCTAAACTGCTATATTTTCACATTTACTTTCCATTTTGGGGGGTATATCGAAATCCATTTATGGAAGAATGCTGTCTGCTATGTATACATTTAAGTTCATAACTTCCTTTCTGCAGAGTAAAAAAGGGCACTGCTCTGTGAAGGTTGCTCAAGGTCAATTTCACAGCTTGAAAAGACTCTCCATAGAGTTTCAAAGTTTTTAAAAAACTACATGCACGGTTAAAGGTATATGCTTTCTCATTGGGTCCACTCCACACATGATACCAAGGAAAGTAAAAACAAAATAAGCTTCTGTACTCTTCAGAATTTTTATTCCAAAATAAGCTTCCTATCTATTTAGAGCAATCTGAAGTACCTGTACACATGCACCTTTGAAAATTAAATAAGTGAATACCCTTTCTCTGATATTTTAAACTCATACTTAAACAGCAAGTGAAGGAGAAAATTATTGCAAACTCATACTTGTGTTGACTCAGAAGAGGTTTGGAGTACATGGGAAAATTGACTCAGCAAAAGAAAAGGAATCTGATTTCCATATGTAAACAGGACACACCTTTGGCTCAAAGCCTAAATGATGTGCAAGAGGCCCAGCAAACATCTACTAACATTTAAGATATATTTAGAAGAGTGAAAAGAATTTGAATGTATGTGAAAGTGAGCATTCTTAAAAGTAAAGACAAATGGGTTAGTCCAGGGCAGAGATCCTCAAACTTTTTAAAGTGGGGGCCAGATCACGGTCCCTCAGAGAGCTGGAGGGCTGGACTATATGAACTACTAATTCCTACTGTAACACCTCGGCTGCGCTCACTGCCCAAAAAACCTGGCGGGCCGGATCAGACTCCTCTGCGGGGCCGTAGTTTGAAGACGCCTGGTCCAGGGTGACTAGAGTATTTGACTAAAGTCATTATGATAGACCAGGTGAGGGGAAGGGATGTTTTGGTAAATATCAAAAAAAAAAAAAGTAGCTACATTGGAGAAGAAATTGGCAGAGTTAACTTAAAAACACACACCAAAAACCCAAATCTATTATTATTATGCAATTTGGATTTATACTTTCAAGTCTACTTTTCTGATGTCTTGAAAAAGAAATGAGCACTACAATTGGATCTATAAGAAACAGCATTTCAAACACCCCAAAGACTGTATTTTAATCAGTTTCTTTTTGGACATCAAAGGCTTCTGAAATAACTCCCTAAAAACTACTCTTAAAGTTACCTATTACCATTACTTACTGTTTTATGTCTAAGAAATGCAATTTAATTCTATGATCTTGGAAACTATCTTATTTCTAACAGAAATAAAAAAGGTTAGTTGATTGGCCAATCAAACCACAAAGTGTCAACCAATTCAAATGTAGTAGTCCTAGCTCAGTGAAGACAGATTTGTGTTACAAAAGACTCTTTAACCTTACAACTCTAATTTATTTAAGAAACAAAAGCAATCAAGTAAATGAGACAAAAAAAAAAAAATGAACTTGTGATTTATAAAGGCTCTTAAGAGTTAAATGAACTGCAATCTCATGAATGGACCTGCCCAGATTATGGCTAAAGAACATGGAAGATTCTTTAAAGAGCATGGTAAGTTCATTTTTGAGTATTGGGTTCCTAGCAAACAATGGGAATATTCATGGGAAATATAGTGTAAAAATATGGACTTCACATTTTTGACAAGAGACAAAATGTTACACCAACCCTCTCAAGTTTATTTGAGAGCCTGAAGTTAGAGATTTCAGTCCCATAGAATCCCTGAAGGTTCCTAGAGAAGAATGGGGGAACCCCTTAGTTCTAGGCTTTACCTGGGTATAAGTCTCTATTTTAGTTCAATCACTTCTTTAATCTAGGAAGCCTTGGGATCCCTTCCTTTTGGTTTTTCCACTACTAACATACTTTTCATATTTGTTTTTAGTCTTCTAACCATTCAGAGATGCAACTTGAATTCAAAATTTTTAGCTCCTTGATGTTTGGAGTTAAATTTTTTTTTCCTGTGCCCTTTTAGAAATGAAAATTGTGACTATGACTAGAGTTGATAACACTCTATTGTATAATTGAAATATGCTAAGAAAGCAGAACTGAAATATTTTCACAAAAAACGATAAATATGTGAGGTGATGGATGTGTTAACTAGATGGGTGGAATCTTTTCACAATGTATACATATATCAAATCATTATGATGGCCCTAGCCAGTTTGGCTCGGTGGATAGTGTTGGCCTGCATACTGAAGGGTCCTGGGTTCAATTCTGGTCAAGGGCACATACCTTGTACCTTGGTTGCACATTCCTCCCTGGTCTGGACCTTGGTCAGGGCATGTACAGGAAGCAACCAATTTATGTGTTTCTCTCACATCGATATTTCAATCTGTCTTTCCCTCTCTTCCCACTCTCTCTAAAAATCAATTAAATTATCCTCGGGTGAGGATTAGAAACAAAATCATTATGATGAACACTGTAAATATATTACAATTTTACTTGTCAATTACATCTCAATAAAGCTGGGGGAAAAAGTAAAACCACAGATCGATTATTCTATTTTTAGAGGAAAGATGAATTGCAACACATACAAAATACCTAACTCCTATATTAACAGACTAGAGGCCCAAAGATTTGTGCAAGAATGGGCCTTCTTTCCCCTGGCTGCCAGCAGTGCCTTCACTCAAGACAGAGTCACCTTTCTGCCTTCCCACACTGCCCCCAGCCACTGAGCCTGTGTATGCAAATTAAGCCACCATCTTTGTTGGGTTAATTTGCAAACTCACTCCTGATTGGCTGGTGGGCATCTCGAAAGTATAGAAATTTGCATCTTTCTCTTTCATTAGTGTAAATGAAAGATTATCTGTAAATTTTTTTCACCATAGTGTTGAAAGGTTCTGTATATAAGTTTTTTAAAATAGTAAATGATTTATTATACATTCGGTAAATATTCCTCACTATTGTTAAAAATGAAAATAGGAATAAGAATGTGTCCAGTTCTACTATATTTTCATAGTGTCCTAGTGAAGGGTGAATAAGATAGGACACTGAAAGTGTCTTGACTTCTAGATTAGAGGTTGCAAATTCAAACCATAGATGTTTTGTTTGAAACGTATGAATAAAATTTTTTAAATTGAATTAATTACCAACATTTTACAATCAGGAGAATTTACTTTATACATCTGGATTTCCACTTTTCTTAAAACATGAAATTATGTGGTAGCAGTGTTTGCATTTATAAATGGCAAAAACTGAATAGGACTGAATATTAGCTGGTCCCTTGAAATGCAGCAAGGCAGCTTCAGTTTGTCACAGTTCTGCTCAATCCCTATAGATTTCTAATTTTGGAGGCAGAATACCCACTGTGATGCTTTATCTTATAACTGCTCTGTATACTACTTATCTAGTCCATATAGGCATGTGGATTTGTGATCTTCATTTAGATTGTTTGTTTCTAGCTCCAGCTCCCAAACTGATTCATTGGTTGCTTGGTGATTAATCTATTCATTCACTCATCAATCTAACTTTTATTTCAATCATCAATCATCTTTTTCAACATTACTCTCCTTACTAAAACAAATATTAATATAAAAAGGGCAGGAAGTGACACTTATAAACATTAAAGTACAACATAACATCAAATACTACTTTTACTTTTATTTATAGCTTATTTTTAAAAAGAAATGGCTTGAAGAAGAGTATTTCCTGTATTTATACAGTTTTTTCTGTATCTTAAGTATAGAATGTTGCTAATGTCCATATGCAAGGTTTTATTAATACATTACCCTTTTTCCTGACTCACCTCATAAGCAGCACCCAGATCCTGGAATTTCTCCTGAGCTCGTGGGTCATCAGGGTTCCGGTCAGGATGAAGCTGCAGGGCCAGTTTCCTGTAGGCCTTTTTAATATCCTTTATAGAGGCACTGCGAGGCACCCCCAAGATCTTATAGAAATCTCTCCTGGGGAGTGGGTAGAGGATACTTCATTACAGAGTTATGTAGTACATTTTTAAAAGTGACATGTGATACATACACACACAAAATAATAACTAAAAAGAGAACACACCAGAATTTGTAATGAGTTTTATATATTGAAGTAATCACAGCGAGAGGCTATCTACTTTTGAGCATTGCTATAATTATTCAAACTATCTGTGGCATTCTTCTCTTAGAACTACTGTCAGTCAAGAAAACCATGTTTTTACTTTATATTTACATGTTATTGTCAACCAATAACCTTTTCCTGTTATTGACTTCAAAAGACATTTGACTGTTTCTGAAGATCAAATAACAATCTCAATGGATGATCTTCTTTACTCAAAATTACTGCATCACATAAATGCTCCAACTAACAATAGAACTGTAAGAATGCTAAAGATGAAGTGACTGAAGTTAACTTCAGAGGTTAATATACAGGTTAAGCCAAAGCCCAAATAAGAAAAGAAAATAACACCCGTTTAGATGTACGAGTTGTGGTGCTTTTTGCTGAAAGAGAAAATAACAATCTTGCAGTCATTGCTAAAAGTTATATTAGTTAGTCTAAATCAAGTCTTAATTATAGACAGTTTCTAAACCTCATATGCAGGATATTATAAGTCACAGCAGCTGAAAAATATGCATGGCATGAGCTGGGTATCAAGATAAGGTAGAGATCCAAAGGAGATATATGTACTACTATATGTAGTACTTTAAACAATAAAGAAAATTTTTTTTAAAGGTAAGTTAGAGATCCACAGACCTCTTTGCAAGATACTATGCTGGAACCAACTAATTACAAAGAAAATCTTTGCAAGAAGGGCCAATGGGAAGATAGATAAAACTATAATAAACTTTCAGAGCAGGGAATGTAGCCAGCCCATAGAAGACATCAATAAATATCCACTGAATGAGCTTGGTCGGCTTGGCTCAGTGGTTGAGCATCAACTTATGAACCAGGAGGTTACGGTTTGGTTCCCGGTCAGGGGAAACCCCAGTATGGGGGCTGATGAGTGAGTCTCTCTTATTGTTACTGTTTCTATCTCTCTCTCCTTCTCTCTTCTTCTCTGAAATCAAAAAAATAAATTTTTTTTTTATTCACTGAATGAAATGAATAAATAAGCATGCTCACAAAAATCAATTTGTTTAGCCAGACTCACTTTAGCCACCAGAGGTTATTCTGAAAATGCATTCTGTCAGCAAAGCAGATGAGAAAGTGGTTCACAATGGACACACTAATGTAGCAGTGATGGTATATTTTATAATGTAGTGGGGGGAAACATGCATTGGGGTACCAAGATTCAGGTGCTCTATAACAGAAGATCTGACTTAGGGTGGTGGGCACACAATGCAATATACAGATGATGTGCCATTGAGTTGTATACTTGAAACTTATGTAACCTTAATAACCAACGTCACCCCAATAACTTTAATTTAAAAATAAAAACGATTTCATAAGCTTTTAGTCACACTTCAGGAAAATCATTTAACATCGTTTTGAAAATGATCACCCATAAAGGGTTCCGTGAGGATTAATTAGGTGCTTTATCTTTGGCCCCAAAAATCTGCAAAAACTTTATATATCTTGAGATAAGAACTAACTAAATAAAAAGAAAGGTTCACTAAAATTAATAACAAAAGAGTTAACTGGATAAAGAATAAAACTTAGCATATACTTAATATAAAAACGGTTAAATAACAGCTCAGGAAAATATAGGGAAAAGAGAGCCAGCATAATTCAGCACCAGTATCACAGTGCCCAAGAGACTCCTTTATGAAAGCCTGAAGTAGAAAGCTACAGTATTAAGTATTTATACTGATTCCTTGTTTAAATACCTTAGTATACTTTAGTGCTTTACTAGTAAATATAAAAAGTACTAACAAAAACAATAAAGTATTTCCTAGGAATTAAATTCTTTTAAAATTTAAGATGTTTTATAAGAAAAAAAATGACAAAGTTTAAGTATATATGCACGGGGCAGAAGCCTTTAAGAGAATAACAAGCACTTACATTTTAAAGCTTTGCTAGGTAGGACTTGCTCCATTTAGAGCAACCTATTAATTGACAGAATCTAAGGCCTTTCTATTCCCCACATTCTAAAATATAAGCCTGGCATATAGTATCCTGTGGTCAGCAGGCATATAGGATCACGGATCTTAAAGGCTGGAAGGATCCTCAAGAGTTTAGGTGGTCCTACTCCCTTCCTACAGGAGGCACATTAGTTCCTCAACTTACGAATGTGAATTCAGGTGGTGGTTCCTTCAAGGTCACATAGTTTCTACGTGGGGTGTGGGTGGGGAGGCTAGGATCCTGGTCTACTACCTGCGGTAGTAGCGGGAAATATTCTTCCCATCCATAATACCATTCAACTTCTCAAAGATGTACCATGGAGAGAGACAATGAGGCCAGACGACAGCTGAGGCTCAACATCTCAAGAAGCGGTACAAGGACTTCCCAAAGGGTCTGCAACTCAACTGAACTTCCTTCAGTCCCAGCATGGCTTCCTTAACTGTTCGGCGAACTTCCTCACTCAGCCTGGCACTGACCCACCGCCCACCTGAATGTCTGCTCCCCCAGTGGCTCACGGCAGGCTCCTCTTCTCCAGCTCAACAGCCCCCGGGGCCCCGTGTCGTGTTTGGCATCCAACTCCCACCCCTCCGAACAAGTCCGGTTCTCCAGGGCCTTGGGATCTCAGCCCCTCTCACTCGTGTCATCCATGGCTCTCCTCTCCACCCTTACCAGCCTTACCAGCCTGGTCCACACGAGCCATTCCTCCGCCCCACTGTCTCGCCACAGCAATGCCCTCCCTCCTCGTCCTTCCAGCTTGGTCCCAGCCAAGACTGACTGACCCAGGGGCCCCCATGCCACGCGGGTTACCCGTTCCTCACCCGGCGATCACGGTCCCGATGAGGTACAGCAGCAACAGGCAGAAGGTGCCCAGGTTTTGCGGGGCCATGGTTTCTCCGTGCCGGCCTCGGTGCCGGCCCCTGTCCAACACGCTCCTCACTGCCTCCTCCTCCTCCTCCGGCGCCGCGTCGGCGGCTCGCCAGCCCACCGGGCCCTGAAAGGCCGCCTCACGCCGGGGTCTCGTGCGGGGGCCCGGAGCGACGCAAGCAAGCCGGCCCCCCTCTCTCCGGCCAGTCCACTTCCAGGGAGTCCCGTGTCCGGGGCGAGAGAAGCCCCCCAGCAGAGGAGAGCCAATCGCTGCCCCGGACATCACACGCGGCCGGCTCGGCGCAGCCAATCAGCGCGGTACACTTCACCTCCGAGGCGGCGCGGGCGGCCAATTGGAAGAGGAGACGTCAGAGAGTCGCGCCGCCGCCGGAATCCGCACTGCCCCGACTCCCTGCGAGTCGTGGAAAACTACGTAAAAGGGCGGTAGAGAAATGCATGCCAAAACAGCATTTCTAAGGTATAAGGCGTTCCCCCGCCCGCCTCCTCTGACTTTCTACCAATCACGAGTGTTTTCCTCCAGCTCTGACCAATGGCGGGAGGAAAGTTTGAGTCGGTGACCAGTCCTGGAATTTCATTCATATGGAACTACTCGCTGGATGCAGGGGCGGGGGGGACCTGTGCGTTGTGGGCGGTTGTGGGCGGGGAACAATCACTCCAAGCCCGTGGTCCTGCAAACGTCTAGTTTAGCAGATCTTGTTTATTTTTTTAAAATATATTTTATTGATTTTTTACAGAGAGGAAGGGAGAGAGATAAAGAGCTAGAAATGTCCATGAGAGAGAAACATCGACCAGCTGCCTCTTGCACACCCCCTACCAGGGATGTGCCCGCAACCAACGTACATGCCCTTGACCGGAATCAAATCTGGGACCTTTCAGTCCGCAGACCGACGCTCTACCACTGAGCCAAACCGGTTTTGGCTATTTTATTGATTTTTTACAGAAAGGAAGAGAGAGGGATAGAGAGTTAGAAACATCAATGAGAGAGAAACATCAATCAGCTGCCTCCTGCACCACTACCTCCACCCTACCCCCACTGGGGATGTGCCCGCAACCAATGTACATGCCCTTGACCGGAATCTAACCTGGGACCCTTCAGTCTGCAGGCCTGCACTTTACCCACTGAGCCAAACCGGTTTCGGCAGGATATCTTATTTTGCCTTCTCCTGACAGCCCAGGAGAAAATGGTCTTGGTTTCACTGAGAAGTGGCCGTGCAGGCAGACAGACTGAACTTAGGATTCAACGTCCACTACAATTTAGCGGTGAGAAACGCACACCCCTCACCCGCCAGTCTGAGCTGAAGCTTGATTATTGACATCTCTTTACCAACAGTATTGTGACATTTTAATAGTAGAGAATCTTTAACCCATCTAGCACAACGTCTGGCACATAGTAACCAGGCACTCAGTGAATAACAATTATTTGTTATCATAACTGATCCCACCTACCCATACTCCTGCCTACTTCTCACTCCTCTCAGTAAATGCAGCACCTAATTGTTCAGTACAAAACTCTGTGTTCCTTTATTCCTGTGTTGTATTCCCTATACAGATGTTTACCTTTAAACTATAACTCAAATCTCTCCACTGCCTCTCTGGGCTAAGTCACATCATCCCTCACCTGGCCAGTGCCTCCTAATTAGTCTGGGGCGTCCACTCTTAATATTTCTTTTCCCTCCTGCCCACTCCACTGCTCCGATTTCTTACAAACATACCAGATCAGATCATTCCCCTGTTCAGAGGTCCCAAATCGCTTTTCATTGCACTTAGAATACAATTCCAACTCGTTATGGTAAATTATGAAACCTTATATGTCTCAATAATGCTGGAAAAATTTTTTTCAAAAAAAAACCAAAACCCTATTATGATCTGTGTACCCTCACTCTATACTCCTTATCATGTTCCAGCAAAACTGGTTTCCTTTCCCTTTTTTGAATACACCAAGCTCATTCCTGTTCTTTATGCCTGAAACCCTCTTTCCTAAGATCCTAATATGGGTGACTCCCTTTTAAACACAGATTTTCTTAATATGTATTATCTATTATCCCTATTAAAGTATGCACTCCAAGAAAACAAGGACCTTAACTGTTTTGTTCACTACTATAATCCCAATGCCTAGCACTGTGCCAGACACACAGTGATGCTCAACAAATAATTGCTGTTGCAGAAAACAAAGGCCTAGAGAGAATTGCTCAAGGCACTGAGCTACTAGTGGTGCAACCTGCTCTTTACTCCTGAATCACACAGAGTTTAGAGAAAGATAAGGTTATGCCTTCAGGAAGATGCCTTCTAGGGGAGAAAAGCTACACAAAAGAGGAACTAAATGCATTTTTTTTAACCATTGTATCTTCCACACCTAGAGAGACCATAAAAGAACTACGAAAGTAGAAAATGGCTAAAAATCATGAAATGGAGGTTTAAAAGGAGGAGTGATGTCTACTGCTGGGTGGAGTCCCAAAAAGCTTCATGAAGGCCTGGGTTTGTATCTTGGCTCGAGTCTTGTGTGATCTTAGGGATGTATTACTGTCACTCCTCTACTCCCTAGTTTTCTCGTCAATAAAACAAATGTACTTAACCAAAGAATTCTATGGGGAAATCTAGATAATACACATAAAGGTGCTTTACACAGTGGCCACCTAGAGTAAGCACTCTAACATGTAAGCTGTCATTCTCGTTGTTGTTATTACTGATCAAAGTGTGTCCTTCTCGTTGTTATTATTATTGATCTATAGATTTCCAGCAGCTATTGCCTGCCCACAGTTCTGTGAAGCAACAGAAAACTTCCTAGTCCCCTGAGTGGAAAGACTCGATCACACGAAGCGGCCGCGTAGGGCTCCAGGCCCCAGCATCCAGGAGGCTCACTAGCCTCCGCCAAATTGTCCTGACCGCTGAGAAGTGGTCGGCCGCTCTAGCCATACGGTCCTCCAGTTCTCGGTGGTGAGAGGCCTCGCGCGTGCGCGGTGTGTGCGACGGCGCTGGCGGCGCGGGCGAGGGGCGGGCCGGTCGGCGAGCGGGCGCGGCGGCGGCGGCGCACCGAGGTGCGGCGGGGCGGAGCAGAACCCGCCAGTGCAGGTAACGGCGGCTGGATCGGCGCCGGGGAGGGAGTGGGGGTCTGTTAGGCTTCAGGCCCCAAATAGGGGGACTGCCTTCGCACTCACCAGGTCTCGGTCGCCTGCGGACCCGATCCACAGGGTCTTCTCTGCCCTAAAGTGAGGTTAGAGCGCTCGGGCGGCCCGCGCAGCTTCCAACCCCGGACGGCATCCGAGGTGACTGGGAAGCCTCTGGAGGACCGCCCGGGACCACCCTCTGATCCCCCTCCCAACCCCCACCCTCGAAAAAAACCCTAATCCCAACTACCCCGGGGGCAATTTAGGTTTGTCGGCGGCTCTTACACGCCGAGATGCTGGGACCTGGGGTCAGACCCGCCGCTTTCTGGTACCGAGAAACCTTTCCACTCGGGACGAGGACGTTCGCTGTTGCCCACGGAGCTGAGGGCAGGTCATAGCTGCTGGAAAAGTCAGCACGCTCTGATCAGTCATAACAATGATAATGACAGTTTTATGTTTATGAATGTAGCCCTCTCGAATCCCGGACTTCTATAGAAGAAGGTTCATCTGCAGGATCTGCACACTTGAGACACAGGAGTCAGAACCTCACCGAGCAGCTTTGTCTCCATTCTGAGGTGGGGGAGGGCGACTATCTTCCTCATGTAACTTTAATGGTCTGGTTTTGTTCAGAACTACGCCAGACCATTCTCATCTTGGAAAACAGCTGCCATTTACCCTCTCACGCCCGCCCTTTGGGTCCAGCTCCTATGTTCCTGCACTTGGAACATGGCTTTCTCTGGCCTCACATCTAAAGCCATTCATTCCGGTATTTTCTCTTCTGGCTCCGTTTCTATTCGTCAGAGCTTTCCTCAAAACTAGGTTCTTAAAGTACAACTGTAAGCAACACAGTTCTCCGGTCAGACAGACTTGAGTTGTAATCAGGACTGTGCCAGTTTAAGTATGTGACTTTGGATAAATCCCGTAACTTTGCTAAGCCTTTTTTTTTTTTTTTTTTTTTTTTGTTATCTAAAAATGGGATAACCATACGAATCTTCAAATGGTTGTGAAGATGAAAACAGGTGAAGTGGGAAAATATTTAGCATGCTAGCTGGCACGTACGGTAGTAAGCAATCAATTGATGTCAATTATTTTTGAACAGGTAATTTCCCAAAGAAGCACAATTTTCTTAGAATCAAATGCAAGTTATAATAATAACAAAACTTTTTTCATCAGTTACATAAGGAAGGTTTTTTGATGTTACTTAGTGCAAAGACTACTCTGAAGGGAATACCGCGGGCCAAGAGAGGGTCCAACTTGATATAATCATTTAGGAAAGCAATGAAACTACATGTCAGGAGCCTCAGAAATGTCAGTTACTTCGTTTCACAAATGCACATGGGAAAATTTGGGGGGGGGGAACTAATTCTAATGCAGAAAGGTAGTATTGTAGCATTATTTATGGTAGTGAACATATTTAAACTTTTTATAATGGGGTTTTTTAACATTACAATAGGTTAGGAAATGGCCCCCTTGTGCTCATGACCCATCTTTAACAGAGATCAATATTTTGTTTATCTTGTTTTTGTGAAAAGTTTTAAATGTCTAAAAACAGAAGAATAAGCTGGGGTACATTTATGTAGAGTGTTATGAAGCTTTTAAAATAATCGGGAATTAGGTAGATGGTGTTATCACAACTATAAAAATTCAAAATTAACATCCAGTCTAGAAAAACAGAAAAGTGAGTACAGAAAAATATTAACTAGTTTCTGTTTGGTGGTGGGACTGTGGTTATTTTCTCCTTTTCTATTTTTAGAGACTTTATAAATAGTTTATAAAAGTCATATATTGTTATAACAAAGAAACAACAAACAAAATCTAAAAATATTGCACCTGAACATGTTAGGTTATGCCTTATACCGAGAATAGCTTTAACTCTCCTTGATCTATTTTAGCAACCTACATTTACATGAGCATTCTTGTGTGCCATCATGTATTGGTGCTTTATATTGAGCTTATATACGGGCAGCTAACACATTCACATCTTTAAACAACCATCCTTATGTATAAGTGAAGTTTTTTGTTTTGTTTTTTTAATATATTTTATTGATTTTGTACAGAGAGGAAGGGAGAGAGATAGAGAGCCAGAAACATCGATGAGAGAGAGAGTCATCGATCAGCTGCCTCTTGCACATCCCCTACTGGGGATATGCCCGCAACCAAGGTACATGCCCTTGACTTGAATCGAACCCGGGTCCCTTCAGTCCCCAAGCCAACGCTCTATCCATTGAGCCAAACCGGTCTCGGCTGACTCTGAAGTTTTATTCCCTTAATTTTAACTAATGTTCCTCTTCAGGTAGAGCAAGATTTCTTGTGATAGGATGACTCTTTTTCTCATTCCTTCTTTTCTTCCAACTCATACCTTATGCATTTATACAGTCTTCCTAAAACAACCACTTGGAACAATTCAAATAAAACAATTTTGTTTTATCACAAAATTTTTCTTGTTAAAATAGGTTGTAATGAGAACTGAAATAAATCCATTCTGTTCTTGATCTAGATCTGCTTTTTAAAATGATAGAGTACATTTGAAAACAGTTCAGGAGAGGGGTCACCTTAGAAAAAAAAAATGTATATGGAGTTTTGTTTCAAGTCAATTTGTGAAGAAATTTTGTTTCCTAGGTATGCAAAGAAGACTTGTTACACAAATGTCCTTAGAGATAATATGGATCAGTCCAGAATTCTCCTCTGGGTGAAAGCAGAACCCTTTATAGTGGGTGCCTTACAGGTCCCCCCTCCATCCAAGTTCAGTCTTCACTACCTCAGGAAGATATCAACCTATGTGCGAACCCGGGCCACAGAGGGAGCGTACCCACGCCTGTACTGGTCAACCTGGAGGCACATTGCATGTGGGAAGCTGCAGTTGGCTAAGGATCTGGCGTGGCTTTACTTTGAAATATTTGATAGTCTTGCAGTGAAGACAGCGGAAGAGCGCCTGGAATGGTCTGAGATTCTGTCCAACTGCACATCTGAGGATGAAGTCGAAAGGCAGAGAAATCAGGTATGGCTTTATATGTATGTGTAATTACTTTGGAAAATAAACTTTTTAACTTTTAAAGTATCTTATTTTAAAATGTTTAATGTATATACTAGCTGTATAGCATGTGGGGTTTTTTTTTAGGTCAATGACCATTATAATCCCTTTGTGTTTTTGAAGTTTTTAAAAACCAATTTGGCAGTACTTAATGAATTAGTCATTAGTTAGCCATCCTTATTTACCTGCTTCCAAAGCAATGTTACAGGAACTCTGTAATTGAAGGAGGGAAATATTTTTATTGACTTGAAAAGGTGGCCCGGTTGGTGTGGCTCAGTGACTGAGCATCAGTCAGCCCATGAACCAGGAGGTCATAGTTCGATTCCCGGTCACAGCCTGGGTGGAGGCTCTATCCCCAGCGTGGAGTGTGCAGGAGGAGGCAGCTGATCAGTGATTCTCTGTCATCATTGATGTTTCTATCTCTCTTCACCCCTCCTCTCTGAAATCAATAGAAACATCTTTAAAAAAAAAACAAAACACAACTATTTTGAGGTTAATGAGTGCTTATGAACCACTGATATGAACCACTTGACTTTTAAAGTGATCATCTGCTATGTGCTGGAATTCAGTGATTAGAACAGCATCTATGCTTTCATGGCTTCATGGAGCTCATGGACTTAGTAGGGAAAGCTGGTATGTAAAAAGGTGCTATTTAATGGTGTAAAATGTACAATAATTAAAAGCATACATAACATACAGAAATAGAATAGAGAAGAGAATGATTGATTCTGATGATCAGGAAGGGCTTCACAGAGAAAGTATATTAATCAGAATGGACTAGTTACAGTAGCAAGCAATCCAGCGTTTCAGTGGCTTGCACAATAACAGTTTATCATTTATGCAACACAGCATCTCTAGGCTTTCGTTGTCCAAGCAATGACTCAGGGACCCAGGCTGCTTCTGTCTTTTGGAGCCATTATTTTATTAGTCAGCTTTGGTGTAGTTAAAAACAAACAAGCAAAAATGGCATTCTAGTGGCTTACAGTAACAAAGGGTGTTTTTTTGTTTTTTTTTTCCTTGCTTATTTTACATGTAGACTACATCTTAGGTATGGCTCTCTTCCAGGCTGTGGCTTGGCTCTCTGTTCTTATTGAGGACCCACACTAAAAAAATAGCTTCTGGATAGCTCTTTTATTGTGACAGAGGGAAGAGCAACAAAGGAGGGAACTCATGTGTAACATACACTATGACCACTTTCATTCCATTGGCTAAAGTTTTGTCTTATGTCCATTCCTAAAATCAACAAAGGGGCAAAGTAAACTACTTCACCGGAAGGAAAATCCCATGGTTATAAACCTCGAGAAGGATAGGGTAGTGAACAGTTGCAAACATAATGCAATTTGCCACATCCTTCCCCAGTGGGACATCACAGTCTTTCTCTTCTATTTTTACTTTTTTTGGGGGGGAGAGTTTTAGGGGTGCTTGAAAGTAGACTGGAAAATGCCATCTAATTATGTGCCCAAGAAGAAAAGAAAAAGTATTTATTTAGCATCTAGCCAGTCTTTGTCACATAGGATAATATATAAGCAAGGTTTTGAGGATTGAAAAAAAGTTTGGCAAGCAACCAAGAGGGAAAGGGCATTACGATTATTAATTAATCAAACATTTACTGAGTGCCTACTATATGCTAGCCCTGTTAGAGGATACTGTAGAGAGAGAGATGAACAAAAACTCCAATTATTTTGAGTGTTTACTATGTGCAACGTTCTATTCTTATAGCAATATAAAAATGAGAAAGAGAAGGTTCTTGTAGTCCTCCTCAGGTATATGAAAGAATAATGACAATATAATAAATAGTTAATGGAAGTATATATAAAGTTAGGGAATTATGCTGATTTTAAAAAGCCAGTCCCTCGTGTGTACATACTATATGATTCTGTTTTTATAATATTCTTGAAATGACAATATTATAGAGATAGAGAACAAATAAGTGGTTGTTAGGGATTAAGGAAGTGGGGGTGAGAGTGGGAGAGTAGTGAGTATTGCTATAAAAGAACAACATGTGGGATTCTGCATTGGTGGAAATATTCTGTATCTTGACTATCAATGTTAATATCCTAGTTGTAATAATTTTTCTGTAGTTTTGCAAGATGGGAAACTGGGAGAAGTGTACATGGGATTTATCTTTGAGTTCTTACAACTGTATGTGAATCTACAGATATCTCATATAATTTAATTAGGAAAATAAAAACTGTTTGCCCTGGCCGGTGGTGCAAAGTGGTTAGTGTCACCATGCACCTAAGGGGCTCCGTCAGGGGCACATACGTGGGTTGCAGGTTTGCTTCTGGGTCCAGGTTTGTGTGGGAGGCAACCAGTCAATGTGTCTCTCTCACATCAATTTTTCTTCAGTTCCTTAGCAATAGCAGTTTTTAGCCAGGTTGGAATCAGGGTAAACATAAGTATTTTTAGCCAGGTGTATTACTGTATTTTTTTGCCTCTCCTGCATGTGTATGGAAATGCATATATGAGGATAATCATGAGCTTCAAAAGCTGAGTTTCAAACCACATTCTTCAAATAAGAAATCACTTATAAACATCTATCAGACCAGCTCTGGTTGCTTTTTTAAGTCAAGCAAACATCCCTTTAAGAATTTGATGAAACACCTGAGGCCTGCTACCTACAATACGTACATGCACAAAAAGATTACATACAATTCTAGTTATTGCACTGATATCCTAAACTTTCTTAATAAGTCTGTATGTGAGACTTAGGTTAACTAACCTCTGTGTCTTCCTTTGTTTTATCTGTCAATCTATTTATTCATTTTTGCTAAGGTGCTTTTTAACTTTTTAACTGTAATTTTAAACTTCTGCAATAATATGCTTTTTAAAAGTATCTACTTCATTCTTCTTCATAAGTTTTGGGAGAGAATATCTGGCCATAGATGCTACACAGCTTTCCAAGGTGACTCCAGTTTAATTAGATTAAGAAACTGCACATCTGTATATGAGAGACATACATAGCAAATGCTAGCAATGTTTCTACATTTGTCTTCCTAGGATCAGCAAACTGTTGTGGATTTTTTTTTACTATGTCTGTTTAGTTGTAAACCTAGTAATTGATACAGTTTTAGGACCTGTGCTAATCATTTATTTTTTTTCTTGGACAGCTCTCAGTGGACACCCTACAATTTCTGCTCTTCTTATACATACAACAGTTAAATAAAGTCTCCCTAAGGACATCTTTGATTGGAGAAGAATGGCCTAGTTCCAGAAACAGATCTCAATCTCCTGACCTGACTGAAAAATCCAGTTGTCATAATAAGGTACTATTTAATTTTGGTGTCTTTCTCTGTAAGAGAAATTGTTTGCTTTCATTAAAAATTATGTTGTGATTACTTATAAAAACCATTGATTTTCTGGTTTGTTTTGTTTTGCTTTGCTTTTCACTTTTTTTCCAAATAATAAAACAAAATCAAGGTGTGCAATCTTAAAATAGACAAGTGACTTCAGTTCCTTCATTGACACAAAATCACGTTTTTCAGACATATCATTCATCGTACTCTTATTAGCATTCCCATTTTTGAAAATGTTAATGAATTTGAATTTGCTCATTTGACTAAGAATAAATAAAAAGATGGAGTGTTTACATAGTCTTTTGAAATCTGAAAAATTTTCTAAAAATGTTTAGGTAACATGCTTAAGTATACTTAAGCTCAGCATGCTTAAGTAATTATTTGTGATGTGATATTCTAGAAGTTAAATTTAACCAATTAACTTCCAGGATATTTTGAATTTAATTAAAAAAAGATCTGCCACTTGCATTTTTAGACACTTGTGGCGTACAAATGGTTAACTGTCTCACATTGTGAATTTTAGAAAATCTTATTTCTTCTTTCTGTTTTTATTAAAAAAAATTTTTATCTGTTTATGTAAAAGTATTTTTTAAAACCTTAAGTGAAACCCTAACCGGTTTGGCTCAGTGGATAGAACGTCAGCTTGTAGACTGAAAGGTCCCAGGTTCAATTCCAGTCAAGGGCATGTACCTTGGTTGCAGGCACATTCCCATTAGGGGGTGTGCAGGAGGCAACTGATCAATGTTTCTCTCTCATCAATGTTTCTAACTCTCTATCCCTCTCCCTTCCTCTGGCACAAAAAAAAGTCAATAAAATATATTAAAAAACAAACAAACAAAAAGACCAACTTTAAGTGTAGATCTCAATATTTTTATCGTGTGCAAGCTCATTAATCTCCTTTTTCAAAGAAATCTGTTCACCCTTATATTTCATGATGGTATTGCCTCCTAGTTCTGCTTCTGCTTCTTCTCACTTTTTCATGAGCTGCTTTCCCTCTGGCCCTTACAAGCCATTGTTGCTTAGGATTCTGCAAATTTTGTCTTCTCATTTGACACAATTATTCAGCATAATTCTTTTTCTTCCCATGACTTCCTATATCTCAGTGGTCCTAAGTTTTTCTCCATTCTAGACTTCTCTCTTGACATAAGATGCCCTATTTCTACTTTAAACTTAGATTGTGCAAGTCCAGACGCATTAGAGATGCCAGCCATTGCCTGCTATTTCCACACCAGGCAGATCATAGTTCCTGCTGAATGAGCACTATTTAGAGGTGGTGTTTTGAACTAAGTAGCCTCCATTACTAGTAAAATCTGGTTCTGCCAATTAATATCACATGATTTTAGGCAATTCAGTTAATTTTTCTAGGCTTCTCTTTTCCAAGTGGGGATGATAAAGCCTATTTCTTAAAGGCTGTGAGAATTCAGTAATATATTAGCTTGAGACTTATTGTGCACCAGTAAGTGGTGGTTCTAGTTTGTGCTATAGTGTGACCTCTCCCAACAATTGATTAGACCAGGTATGGACACCTGACTAGAGTAGCCAATTCATTGGTATGTATTTAAAATTGGTCTGATTTGAAATGATGACCTGGCCTAATCAGTATTCCCAGGAACCAAAGAAAACAAGTTGGTGATGGGTGCTTCAGTTGACAGCTCATGTGGCATTGGGACCAGAATAGTCATTAAATTCATGCTTGTCCTGAAGTTATGAGGGATTAGAAACTCTGAGGTAATCAGAAGAAAAGAAGAGAATAGAACAGACATGCAGAGTGACGCTGGCCCCTGAGAAAGAACCAGATTCAAGATGGCTTTCCAGTTACAGTTTGGATGAGAACTAGCTGTATGTAGTTTTGGAGATGATTGTGTGTCCCTACAGTACAATCACCCTTTACATGAATTAATTTGTATTCCCCATGCAGGTGAAAGTCCACCCATGTTCTCTCTCTCATCACCCATACCTCGTTAGTTATCGTCTTACTGATTGTGCCTCCAAATAACTGTTTAAAAGTCTGTCCCTTTTCTTCCTTTTATATAGGCCTTAATGCTCTTTTGCTGGAGGGCCTTAATTTCTATAATAAGTTCCTACTTTGTCACCTTGCTGTTAGTCTATAGTCCACCCACTATACTGGAATTTCTCAAATGCAGAAGGATTATATCTCACTTCTATACAAATTTCATCAGTGAATTCTCATTATCATTGGCATTTCATATTGTACTCTATGGAACCACCACTGTGCCTGCTATCGGGGAGGGGAATGCAACAAAAGGGAGGAAGAACAGGTGAGGCTGTGGATAGCCCTGCTTAGATATTTCCTTTGGCATCCAAATGAGAGTTTATGAAAAAGAAAAAAGAAAAAAAGGTATAGCTATTGAGACAATAGGTTTAAGTCCCTGGCACACAAAATAAAGCCCAGATATCTTAATGTTTTATACAACGCTTTTCATGATTGGTCTTGGCTAGTATTTTAATTTTTTTTTTTAACCTGTCACTTCCCAGCATGCTTTCTTCACCCAGAATTTCCAGTTCTTTGAACACAGCAGGTAATTTTACTTCTATAGGCCTTGGCATATGCTGTTTCCTGTGCTCCAGTGCCTTTTTTCCTTGTCTGTTTGCCTAACAACATCAATCAAGAAGCAATTCACATTGCAACCACTATGATTTTTTATCCCCAAGTGGAATTCATTTTTCTCATACTCATAGAATATCTTTACAGATCTTTGCTACAGGTCTTATCTCATTGTGTTACGATTATTTTTTATATTGTCTTTTCACTCATAGACTCTTGAGTTCCTTGAGAGTAGGAACTATGTCTTATTTAGTTTTTATAATTCATCACTTAACACTACTTGTATCACACACAAAAAAAATTTGTCAAATGAGTAAGCCACCTCATTGGGACATCTGCTAACTCAAAGCTTATTCCTGAAGTTATAGCCTCTCAATTTAGTTATTGTAAGATTATTGCCTTGTTTCATCCAGTGGAATTTAAAATATTTTATAATTTGAGTAGGTAACTGAAGAAATCCAATGCTTCATTAAATGGATGTTCAAGGAGGTTATTTTTATGTTTGATCTGAAACTTATTTGCTAGCTGTGTGACCTTGGGTGAGTTTTTTAACATTTAAAAAAATTTTTCATTGGTCTTAGAAAGAGGAAGGGAGGGAGAGAAACATTGATGTGAGAGAGAAACATGGATTGCTTGCCTCTCACATGTGCCTAAACTGGAGATAGAACTTTTTTTTTAATATATTTTATTGATTTTGCACAGAGAGGAAGGGAAAAAGATAGTTAGAAACCGATGAGAGTCATCGACCAGCTGCCTCTTGCACACCCCCTAGTGGGGATATCCGGCAATCAAGGTACATGCCCTTGACCGGAATCGAACCCGGGACCTTTCAGTCTCCAAGCCGATGCTCTATCCATTGAGCCAAACCGGTTTTGGCTGGAGATAGAACTCTTAACCTAGGTATAAGCCTGACTGGAATTGAACTTCCCACCTTTTGGTATATGGGGTATATGGCTCCAGCCAACTGAGCCATACCAGCCAGGAATTTTTAACTTTTCTATATCTCTATTTCCTCATCTGTAAAATGAGCTTTTTTAAGATTGTTGTTAGGATTAAATATGTTAAATTTTGTGTGACACTTAGTGCTTGGCACACACTAAAGATTAACTATTAGTATTTTGAATTGGATAAGGTAGAGAAAGAATCTATATACCTATCACATACACACACAAAGTCTTATAAGGTTTATTTGGCACCTTAAATTCTTTGTTGGGGATGAGGCAAAGTATAAATATGAAATAACTAAAGTATAAAAGTTTCAGGTCTTAATAGAATCTCTTTATTCTGTTAAGTGTTGTTGTTTTTTTAATGTTTTTTAGAACTGGAATGATTATAGTCACCAAACGTTTGTCTATGATCATCTGTCAGATCTCCTTGAGCTGCTTTTAGATCCAGAACAACTCACTGCATCGTCTCATTCGACTAATACTAGTCTAGTCTCTAGAGAAGCTGTGGTGGCACTCAGCTTTCTTATTGAAGGTGCAGTGAGGAGAACCAGGAAGATATACCCACTTCATGAGCTTGCACTGTGGCAACCACTACATGCAGAAAGTGGCTTCTCAAAGATTTCTAAGACCTTTTCTTTTCATAAGTTGGAAGCCTGGTTGAGAGCCTGTTTGACTGGGAATCCATTTGGTACCTCTGCTTGCCTCAAGTCTGGAAAGAAATTGGCTTGGGCTCACCAAGGTATTTAATACTTTATATTAAATTTGAATGACAACTTAGAGGACTTAGGATTTTCTGATGTATTAATGATCACACATCTGTAGAAAACCTAAAAAATATTGCTACTATAAAAGTGAAAAGAAGAACATTTTTCTTCTCAATATATGTCTTTTTCTCTCAAGGCAGCAATAGTCTCACAGGTTTTATTAGTCCAGGTCATTTTGACTTCAGTTAACAGAAACTCCAACTTCAGTTAGTCCTCTTTTTGCTCTGCTTTTCTCTTTTCGATTCTTTCTTCCTCTCATTCTCATAGGCTTATTTGCTTCAGGTCTTCCTATTATGGCAGAATTTGGCCATTCTGCAGTTATACAACCTCAGATCCTTTTTAGCTCTACAAACACAAGCAGACTAGATATCTCTAAATAGGAAATTTAAATTTATCATAGAGAGAATCTAGCTTTGGTTGCATCCATTATCTATTTTCAATAGTCCAGCTATGGTTAAAGGAATAGGTTCAGGTGCCCTGTGACTTCTTGGGGCCCAGGTATAAGTTTTAAGAGAAGAAAGTGGCTATATTCAGGCAAATGTCAGACAAAATAATTGGGGGGGAAAACCACCTAGAATATCCTTTCATAATCTCTGAATTTTAAAGATAAAGAGAAAATAGGTTCTGTGCAAGAAAATGTAAGAAAAAAATCAGTTTTGTTTCAAATTTTTATAATGCAAGAAATGGTTGATCAACAACTACAGAACCTGGAGCAAAAACAGTGATCTAAGAATTCTATATTCAACTGAGCTATTGCTTTAGTATGAGATCAAAGTCTCTCAGATATGTAAGTTTCCCATAAATACATAGGAGATATTACATAATTCTTAATGTTGATGAAAGAATATAGGTACAAATAAATTTTTAAATGTTATAGTAGGGGCTAGTAGAAAAAAAGGATATCTAACCTCTTAGGATTATACTAAAACTAGAGGCCTAGCGCACAAAATTCGTGCACTGGGGGTGGGGGTCCCTCAGCCCAGCCTGCACCCTCTTGCAGTCCAGGATCCCTCCCTCCTTACTGCTCCTTACCACTCAGCTCACTGCTCCTTAGTGTTGCTGCGGAGGCAGGAAAGGCTCCTGCCACTGCCACTGCACTCAGTGCTGACTGAGCAGCACTCCCCTTATGGGAGCACACTGACCACCAGGGAGCAGCTCCTGCATTGAGTGTCAACCCCCTGGTGGTCAGTGTGCATCATAGCAACCAGTTGTTCTGGCTGTTGCACCATATGGCCACTTAGGCTTTTATTATAGAGACTAGTGGCCCGGTGCATGAAATTCGTGTACAGGAGGGATGTCCCTCAGCTTGGCCTGCACCCTCTCCAATCTGGGACCCCTCAAAGGAGGTCCTACTGTTGGTTTACAGGGATTGGGCCTAAATCAGCAGTCAGACAACCCTCTCACAATCCAGGACTGCTGACTCCAGCCATGCACCTGCCTGCCTGCCTGTCTGCCTGCCTGATTGCCCCAATCACTCTGCCTGCTGGCCTGCTCACCCCAAATGCCCCCCTGACAGCCTGATCACCCTCAGTCGCCCCCCCTGCTGGCCTTTTTTGCCCTCAACTTCCCTCCCCACTGGCCTGCTCACCCCCAACTCCCCCCCTGCTGGCCTCCTCACTCCAAACTGCCCCCCACAGCTGTTCTGATCACTTCCAACTGACCCCCACTGATGGCCTACTCACCCCCAACTTGCCCCCCTGCTTGTCTGTTTACCCCCAATGGCCCTGCTGTCCCATCCTGGCCTGATCACCCCCCAGCGACCCAAGGTCCCAGCCCCTCCTGGTTTTCTTTTCTTTTTTCTTTTTTTTTTTTCAGCACCTCCTTGAGTGGAGGCTAGGGCCAGCAGGAAGCAAGTATCTAGGATTTATTTATCTTCTGTAATTGAAACTTTGTAGACTTGAGTGGAGGTCAGGGGCAGCCAGGGTGTATGGAAAGCTTGGCTTCCTCCATCGCAGGGGGCAACCCAAGCCTCCTGCTGGCTCCAGCTCCATGGCTGCTGCCATTTTTGTTGGGATTTATTTATCTCCTATAATTGAAACTTTGTAGTCTTGAGCAGAGGCCAGAGCTGGCCAGGGTGGGTGGCAAACTTGGCTTCCTTCATTGCTGGGACAACCCAAGCCTCCTACTTGCTCCAGCTCCATGGCCAGCTGCCATCTTGATTGGGTTAATTTGCATACTCACTCCAGATTGGCTGGTGGGTGTGGCTTGGTGTAGCGGAGTGATGGTTAATTTTGCATGTTCCTCCTTTATTAGTGTAAATATTAACAATGGTACATGTAGATTAACAAGTAATTTTTATCTTTTTTTGCCACTTGTACTTAAAATTTTTCTACAACCATGTATTTTTTTTTTAATTTAATATAAGGTAATAAGAATTATTTTAAAAGACAAAGAATAATATACTTCACATTTAGTCAATATTCTTTACAAGGGTGTCCTGATGGCTTTCAGGGAAGTGCTGTCTAAAAAGTCAATCCCATAATAGGAGGACAACCTGCACAGATTTTTTTGAGTGTCAGTTTGTTCAAGGCACTGTGTTTGAGAGGAAGATATGTTTTCAGTATGATTTTGGGAGTAAAGATATAAACCAAAAAAGAATTCATGGAATGATATGGTAAATAACTTGGGAGAGGTTCAGTATTAGTGTTATGGCAATTGAAAGAGATTATTTAAGGGTAGGGATGATAAATTAAGTTCTTTTAAAGAAGAAGATATTTGAGTTGGCTCAGCTCTCCAAAGCTACTTACTAGTATATGACCTTAGACACATTACTTAATTTGAAAGGTAGACATGAAAAATATCTTAGCTCTATCCAGGCAATCTTGAATGGATTATAAGTTTTAAAATTCCTTATAAAAATTTAAATACTGAAAACATACAGAAAAGTGCCGAGAATAGTACAGCTAACACCTTTTTACCCAATACTCAGATGTAACATTTTAAAAATCTTATATGTATCTAATTTTAGACATATACACATGTAGAAATGTGTGACAACATATGGTTGATACTTTTCTTTCATTTGAAACTATCTCATTTATATTTTTCTTAAATAGTTGAAGGGGCGACCAAAAGAGCCAAGATTGCTTGTAATACTCATGTAGCCCCTAGGATGCATCGCATGGTGGTGATGAGCCAGGTTTATAAGCAGACACTGGCCAAGAGCTCAGATACTCTGGTGGAGGCACACGTAAAGATTCATCGTTGCAACGAATCTTTTATATATCTGCTCTCTCCCTTACGGTAAGCACAGTCTTGATAGTATTTTGATATTTTGACATTTTCTTTGGACTAGAATTGAACTCTTGTTTTACCATCAGAGAATAATTTTGTATTCAAATATTTTTTTATCTTATTCCCATTCACAGGAATTTACCTCGGTTGTTTTGTTTTGTTTTGTTTTTTCAGGTCTGTGACAATTGAGAAATGCAGAAATAGTACCTTTGTCCTCGGCCCTGTACAGACTGCTCTTCACCTCCACAGCTGTGACAACATTAAAGTCATTGCTGTTTGTCATCGTTTGTCCATGTCTTCCACAACAGGCTGCATCTTTCACATTTTGACACCTACACGCCCACTTATTCTCTCTGGGAACCACAAAGTAACTTTTGCCCCTTTTCACACCCATTACCCAATGCTGGAGGACCATATGGCCAAAACTGGCCTTGCTACAGTGCCTAACTATTGGGACAATCCAATGATTGTGTGCAAAGAGAACAGAGACACAAGTGTCTTCCGACTCTTACCACCTTGTGAATTCTATGTATTTATTATTCCCTTTGAAATGGAAGGGGACACAACAGAGATACCTGGGGGTCTTCCATCTTCATATCAGAAAGCACTGGTCCATAGAGAACAGAAAATACATATCTGGCAGAAAACTGTGAAGGAGGCTCGTCTGACAAAGTAAGTATTTTCTAGAAGTAATAATTTGTCTTTTATGTAAAATTCCATGGAAAGCAAATTAATCTGCATGTATTTATAGCTGTGCTAAAATAATAAAAATATTAAATATGTCTTTAGTTAAAGCTTGTATTTTCAAGTCAGTATTTCAGGTACAGTTTGGAGAGATGAGAGTGAATGGATACTCAAGTATTAGACTTCCCTTTTCAAAGAAGCTTAAGTATAATTGGCAGATATAAAACTTAAATGAATGAAAGATCATATATAGCATATGCCACATAATCCTATACTTAAATGGATTAGTTTTAGTTTTTAATTTACTCTTTTGCCCTATGATGGTGGTTCTCAAGCTTGGACATGCATCAGAATCATTCAAGGGCTTGTTAAAAATGCATATTTCCTGGTTCCACCATACTGCAGACTTATTCCTTATATAGTCCATGGACTAATGCCAGTTTTTAAAATTTTTTTCCCTAATCCATGCTTTCTCTCTCTCCCTTTCTCTCCCTCTAGAATCAATAAAAAACAAACATATCCTCAGGTGAGGATTGGAAAAAAAAGTTTTGATCCAGTCACAGGATTTTCTGGATTCATTCTTATGGCTTTGTTCTCATCATGTGGATTAGGGAAAGAAATACAGGGTGGAGCAAAAGTAGGTTTACAGTTTTTATGGAATATAATACAATAATGAATAAATAATAATACAAGAATAAATTGTTTTGCATACTCACAACTGTAACCCTACTTTGCCCCACCCTGAATTTATCTATACAAAGTTGCTACACGCCAAAAAATATAAAGATCACTAATAGAACTCATGCTTTACCTGGGAATTCATTGTGATAATGCTGCTATCTTTTGCAAACATTCCATCTGGTTTGCATCATAAATTGAGCCACCAAGATAATATTACAAACTAGGCAGTCTCATATCATAGAATAATGATGGCCATAATAGCAGGTTATATGTATAGAGCACTTACTGTGTAACAAGTGCTATTTTAAGCACCTTCTATGTATTAACTCATTTATTCTTTATAACAATACTTTATTGCAGAAAAAGAAACTGAGAAACAAAGATTTAGTAATTTACCCAAATAGCATTCTCAGTACTCTCCATTCCCTTACTCTTCTGTATATTTATTGAAGGCATTTACAACTAAGTTCATAATCATATATTTATTTTATATATTACCTGTCTTCCCTAGTAAAATATACATCCATAAAGCACATAGACTACACAGATCACATTGTGAATGGCGCCCTCTGGAGTCGTGTAGTACAGCAGCCTTGTCTCCTCTCCTTTGCACATTTATCCCCATGAGTCAGAACACTACACAGCATTACTTGGTCCTCAGTAAATATCTGAGTAAATAACCATAGTAGGACAAAGTATGTAATTATTGATAACTTTTTAAAAAATATATTTTATTGATTTTGTACAGAGAGGAAGGGAGAGGGATATAGAGCTAGAAACATTGATGAGAGAGAAACATTGACCAGCTGCATCTTGCACACACACACACCACCACCACCACCCCCCCACCACTTTCCACTGGGGATGTGCCCGCAACTAAGGTACATGCCCTTGACCTGAATCAAACCTGGGACCTTTCAGTCCACAGGCCGACTCTATCCAATGAGCCAAACGGTTTTGGCTATTGATAACACTTTATAAGGAGGGCATTGTATTTGACTAAATTTATTTTGTGGGGTCGTGGTCTAATATACAGAACTGAACAGAACATTTATTTGGAGAGAACAAATGGGTAACCAGAAATAATTTACAATTTATTCCATTAATGTGTTTTCTAATCACTTGGAGTAAAATTAATGTGACTTAGTGTTTTTACATTCTTTTTGTTCTCAACTTCAATTTTAGGGATCAAAGGAAACAGTTCCAGGTGCTTGTGGAGAATAAGTTTTATGAGTGGTTGATTAATACAGGACATCTCCAACAGCTGGACAGCCTTGTGCCCCCTGCAGCAGGTTCCAAACAAGCAGCAGGATAAGACTCCTACATCAAAACACTGGTAGGCATTTATAATACAGACCACTTAAAACAAATTACTTTGGGAAAATATTGTAAGCACACACCAAAAAACAAACAAACAAAAAAACTGCACAAAATATTGCTACCAACTGTTGCCAAAATTTTCCCACTACTCCTTTACATACCCATGTTTGCCACAGTTTATAGTGAGAAGACCAACAAAATATTTAGGTGGAGCCTATTGAATTATGGGCAAAGATAACAGCCAAGTTTTATCTTTTTTTGCCTCTTGCCTGATAAAATTTGTGTTGTACAAAGATATTGCTTTCCCCATACATAGCTTTAGGAATTTTATTCCACCTTCATAATATATCTTTCCTCTTCTCATCACTCCACACACAAACTGATTAATTAGGTGGCTTTTGTTCATTGCACATGAGCTTTAGTAAGTTACCAGAATTAATCCAAATAAGATTTGAATTCTGAACTCTAGGATTCAGTGGAGGAGAAGATGGATAGAAACAAATTTAATGGAAATTATTTAATTCAAATTTGTAGTATTCTTTTTATAGACATTGGTATACTTTGCCATTTTAAAGATTGACAATAGAAAAACAAAGGACATAAATAGGTAGAAAAAATACAAAACACAAAGGTGCTCATTTTCACTTAAAATTAAAGAAATATAGGATACTATTTTTCATCTATCAAATTGGCAAAGATAAAAAACTGATGGTATGCAACACTGGGGAGACATTTCACTTACCACTGGGAAAGTATAAATTTGTGCAACCTCTTTGGAGGATAGTTTGGCAAAATCAAAATAAAAAATCCGCGTATTTTTGACTTAGTAATTTCACTTTTTAGATTTATCTTATAAATACACATGTATGGAAAGATCTCTGTAAAAAACATGTTCACTGCAGCATTGTTTAAAATAGCTATAGACTGGAAACAATCCACATGCTTCTCAATAGAGGACTGATGCCTAATGAACTGGTACATTCATGTCATGGAGTGCTCTTTGAAAAGGATTAGGAATATCTGAATATACTGATTTTGAATGATCACTGAGCCAGGAATGGGAGGTGTAGGATGAATGTGTGTGTAAAATGTTTTCTTGTGTGTTTGAAAAAAGGAAAAGATTATCACACGTATTTATATGCTAATTATATGCCTTCAAATTTCTAAAAGATAATAAATTATTAACAGTAGTTGTCTGAGAAATAAGACTGGGTGTCTAGAGTGGGAAAACATTTAAAATTTTTTATTAAACTATAATTCACTTACGTAAAAATTACCTTTTTTTTAAATTGAAGCATCGGAGTCCAATTTTATTTTATTATTTTTTAAAAATATATATTTTATTGATTTTTTTACAGAGAGGAAGAGAGAGGGACAGAGAGTTAGAAACATTGATGAGAGAGAGAGAATCATCGATCAGCTGCCTGTTGCACACTCCCTACTGGGGATGTGCCCACAACCAAGGTACATGCCCTTGACCGGAATCAAACCCGGGACCCTTCAATCCGCAGGCTGACGCTCTATCCACTGAGCCAAACCGGTTTCGGCAAAATCACCTTTCTAAAGTGAAAAATTCAGCAGCTTTTATTATATTCACAAGTTTGTACAACCATCACCTTTAACAAATCCAGAACATTTCCATCACCCTAAAAATAAATCCCATACACATAGACAAGTTACTCCTTATTCCTCCAACTGTGGATATCTTCTCTTCCCCCAGTATTTGACAGCCATTAGTATTTCTTAATTTGTCAACTTTGGACATTTGTTATAAATGAAATCATATAACATGTGGCCTTTATAACTGGTGTTTTTCACTTAGCATAACGTTTTCAAGGTTTATCCATATAGCATGTCATTCCTTTTTATGACTGGATAATACTCCATTATATGGATTATACCACACTTTGTTTATCTGTTCATCAGTCGATGGACATTTGAGTTGTTTCACTTTTTAGCTGTTATGAATAATGCTGCTGTGAACTGTGTATAAGTTTTAGTACAGAAATATTTTTATTTTTCTTGGTAGTATATACCTAGGAGTGGAAGGTCATATGTTTAACTTTTGACTTACTGCTCAACTGTTTTCTAAAACTGTGCTAATTCTTTATTGTTTACTTTATATATTGTTTGCATTTTTAAAAGTTATTTTTATTAAAAAGGAATTTTATAATATTTAGTTAGTAAATGCTAAGATTGAGAATTGGAAATCTGCCTGGCTGGTGTGGCTCAGTGGTTAAGCATTAGTCCATGAAACAAGAGGTCACTGGTTCGATTCCCAGTCAGGGTACATGTCCTGGTTGTGGGCTCCATCCCCTGTAGGGAGCTTGCAGGAGGCCAATCAATGAAGTTTCTCTCTATTCCTAAAAATTAAACACACACACACACATACACACACAAAGAATTGGAAATCTGATGGGATCCCAAGGGGTCCTTAGTGCTGCCACGGAAGCAAGAGAGTCTCCCACCATCACTACTGCGCTTGTCAGCCTTGAGCCTGGCTTCTGGCTGATTGGCACTTCCACAGGGGACGCTCCTGTGTTGAGCGTTTGCCCCCTGGTGGTCAGTGCATTTCATAGTGACCCATTGTTCTGCAGTTTGGTCAATTAGCATATTAGCTTTTATTATATAGGACGAGAAATATAACAGGGTATAATTTCAGTTTAAACTAATCCCCATAACTTGCTAGTAATTTTTAATGTTTATATATGCATTTTTTTTATTATGAACTAATGTGTTCCTTAGAGAAAAAGGAATATAATTATCTTTAAACTTTATGTATTTTATTACTCCTAATTAACCTCAGACTTTGAAAATATATGTGATTTTATAATTACAAGATTTTTTTTTTCCTAATCATTTTCAGAAAGGCAATAGAAAATGCAGTTAATTTTAATTTTTCTTTTATCTTCAGGGCCCTGGAAACATGAATGGAAGCTATTCATTGGAAAGGTGCTCTTGCTACTTGAAATGACTTTGGGGCATTCTCTCCCTTGATTTCTATTCTTTATTCATTTATTACCATTTCAGTTGAATTTTAGGTAAAATGACTACATATATTATAAATGTACTGTTTATAGACCATCAGTAGATTCATCATTGTGATGCCAAAATGAAAAGTTGATGAAGTCAGTCCATTGTATGTATGTTCATATTACAGTGATTGAATGTAGATTTAAAAGTTAATTTCACATTTTAATTTGTCTGATAAAAGGGTTTCATCCTTTCTGGTTGAAGAGTTCTATAGTTCTTTGTAACTATTTAAGAGGAAATAGCTACTTTCTTAAAAAATAATTGGAAAGAAAGTATGATTGTTGGTATATAAATATAGCAGAGATAGTTTTATACAAAACCATTTTAGTCCTTAAAGTATGAAACTTAATGAAACTGTAAAGCCTTTATTTTTCATTTTTTGCTTCAGATTTTCAATAAACAAAGCTCTAAAAAGTAATTTTCTCCTTTTGATAAAAAGTTAAGCTTTACTTTTAACTCTTGAAAAGGTTCCCATTGTTATTCTATGATGTTATATCAAAATAAAGTTTACATTTGACTGGGAAAGCTGTGTTCTTTAAGATAATGTAAAACAATTATCAAATTAGTAAAATGAATCTAGTTGCTGATAAATGTTGTTTTATCTGCTCATTGACTATTTAATTAGTAATTATATCAAAAAAGGGCTTTATCTTTTATTTCTAAAATTAAAATTAAAACTCAGACTATTAATTCTAATTGAAGTTTTCATAGTTTTTATTTTAAGGTAAAATGTAAGCAAGCAGAGTGTTATCAAATAAACACTGGAGTAATAGAAGTGTGTTTTGTAAATTGCTATGGTTAATAAAATTAATGGTATTAATTTCTTTAAAGTTTATAAAAGTCTCAAAACTACACATATAATTTAATATTTTGTTTCTCATATCAAGGCACATCTATCATTTTCTGAATTGACTATAATGTATCTTGGGGCATCTCATTTATAAAAATATTTGTTGGATACTTGATTAGTAGAAAAATGAGGAAGTTGGACTTTTGAGAAAAATATACTTGACCAGGAAAAGTAAAATTGAGGTGGTTTTTTTTTTTGTGTGGTGTGCTCTTTTTTAGCATATATAAGATGTAATCTCATTCTTAAAGTCAGAGGTATATTAAATGCTAACATGTTCTCTAAACAAGTCCCAGTATGATATTGCAGAGAAATGCCACCTGGCTTAGCTAAACCTTTGCAAATTTAAGAGTCCCTGTAGTAGCTTTATGTGTCAGGCTATGTATGTAGCACCCTTTCTTATGGATTAGAATTTTGTGTGTGTGTGTGTGTGTGTGTGTGTGTGTGTACACGTATGTGGTTAAAAGATTTCCAACTTAACAGTTGTAAGAATTTGAATTCCTACATATTTTTTTGTCTAGATTTACCAAGTGTTAACATTTTGCAACATTCACTTTACTACTCTTTATATAGTATTACTAGAGGCCTAGGGCACGAAATTCGTACACAGGTGGGATCCTAAGGCCTGGCCAGCAATCAGGGCCATTCGGGGCTTTTCTTTATTCTGCACCATCCCTTGGTGGATAGCGCACATTATAGTGAGTGATAGAATTTCCAATCTCCCAGTCGAACTCCCACAGGGACATTTTGCATATTAGTCTTTTATGTATATAGATTACTTTGTTTTGCTCAATGATTTGAGAGTAGATTGCAGACATTTTGGGCCTTTATGCCTAAATACATTAGCATCTACTTAATAAAAAAAAACAGACATTCTCTTACCTAGCTAGTCATAGTACAATGATTAAATTTCAGAAGTTTAACATTAGTACTATCTAATTTACAGTTTATATTAAAATTTATCTAATTTACAGTTTATATTAAAATTTTTGCTAATTGTTACAAAGATGTCCTTTGTTGTGATTTTTTTATTCAAACACAAGATCATGCATTGCTTTTAAGCTATGTAAATTTTGTTGTTTTGCAACATACCACTTCTGTTCAGAAATAGAGTTTATCCTTCTGACTCATCTCCTGCAAGTTCTACTGAAGAAAAAAAAAATATTTAGGATTTCAAGATGGCTGCTTTTAGAAAACCAAATTTACCGAGTAAGAGGACCATTTTTATTTTTTATTCTAAAAACTTTGGCTGAGTTTTGGTGTCTTGACTCAGCAAAGTCTGTTTTTCATCAAGGCTTGGTAAGCATGAAAGTGGGTACTGAAGCTTTCCTTTATTTCATAATCCCAATTGTTTTTCTAGAAACCATCAATAGTTTCTGAATGACTGACTCAATTTTTGGATTCTATTCTCATGACCAAGCAAATGTTTGACTTGAAACCAACCTAGTATAAATGTCTCTGTGCCTCTAATTCTGAATCTATTCCTGGATTTCTGCGCTAGAGAAACACATCAAAAAATGTCTAAAACTGGAACAAAGGTAAGTAAATGGTTGTGCTGATTTTTAGCCTAACTGCTTTCTTTTTACCTAATGATACATTGAAAAAAAAACATGTAGAAAACTTTAGCTACTTTCCCTGCAGGTGAGTATGATAGTGTTTAGAAGGTTGGGATAGGAAGAGAAGATTAAGAAATACTATATTTTCTACTCTAGCAGAATTATCAGTTTGTTAAGGGGTTATCAGTATGTGTGGTGCTATGTTGAATACTGTACAAGTATACGATATGTGATTACTATCTTCCAGCAACTAATATTCCATGAACTTCCACAGGAATAGGAATGCTGATCAGAGGATTATGTGAAGTAGAAAACTTTTGGTATTTAATGGAAATTTTGTTTTTTGAAATTTAGGCTCAACCATTAATATTTTAGAAGGTCAAGGTGGATGAAACAATCAAGAGAATTAAATCCTACATATCCTCTTCATTCAAGCAGTTACTCTTACCCTTTGCCCCAAATAAAGAGGTTATTAACTTAAGAAATTGCCTTTAAATATGTGATTTACAATTGTTGAACTGGCTATTTGATCCCGAGGTAGGGCTTAGGGAATGAGGGAATGTTCCTTCATTCTCTTTTTAGCTCTTCCACTACCAGCGTCTAAAGCAAAGCCATTGGTTCCTGATTTGTTCTCCTTCCCTCTGATTTTTTACTTGGAAAATTTTCAAACCCATTGCATCATTTTAGAGAACACCTATTAATGTGTTCTAGAACTGGTTAGTGCCTGATAATTTTCCTTTTGGAAAACAGAATAATCATACTTGTTATTCAGAAGGAGAAAAATGAGAGAGTGTCTCTAGTTCTCTGAATTTCTTGATAATATGCCAAGCACATCCCACTGAGAATGTGCAGTCCTAGAGAGATATCCATGTACCTTAAAACCATCTTAGATGAAAATATCCCTGCTTTCAGAGATTTCCGAAGTAGTAATGGTGTGCTCTCTCATTTCTAGTGTCTTGGCTTTTGCTTAAGTTAAATAACCTTTGTTTGCTAGACCAAAGAAAACAGCATCTCTTTCTCTTATTCTCCCTTTCCCACTGTCTTGCTAGTAGTTTAATGAGAGGAGTTAAGGGCTTGGCAAATTCTTGCCTCTGGAATACTTGAGACACTTTTCTTTCTGCTGCCACATTGGATTAGTAGGCTATTTTTCAAAAAGTCAACTTGAAAACAAGAGGAATTTTGAAATTTTAGGCAAATCTTCTGCACAAATCTTAGCCTTTTCTGCAGAATTTCCTCCCACCCCCAAGAGTTAAAACCTTCTATTAGCTGACCATAGAGTAGACTTCATAGACCTACAAATGGAAAGTGAGTAGATTTGCAACATTCTCTGGGCCCTGAGAGTTAGAAGGCCTCCCTGAAAGGTGAGCTTGGTCCTGGAGCTCATTAATAGTTCCATGGCAACATCAGTGCCTTGTTTCAATCTTGGGATGGTTAGCTGCTCTGCTGGGAGGTTGGACAGCAAGGTGACCTTGTAGAATATAACATATTTAACTTCTCAGATATTGATGTTAGTCAGGCACATTTGCAGAGGGCAGTAAATGTGAGAAACAATGAAGGAAAAACATTATACTAACTTTATTTCCCATAACATATCCCTTGCAAAGCCTCTTTTCTTGTGATTAGTTGGCTGAAAACCAAATTAAATTAAGGACTTTGGGTCTATCTACTTATAGAAATGTTACCTTGATTTTACTAAAGATCTTCCCACAGGTTTTGGGGAAAAACCCTCAGACTCAGGATCAGTCTTGTTCTGTATCTAAAAGAGTAAATGCTGTTTGTCAAACAGGTTAGCTGTGCAGGTAGGAAGACAGCAAAAGGGAAAGTAAAGTAAAATAAAATAAAATGAACCACAGATCACTAACCGGAATTTGCACTGCAGTCCACTCACTTGCCTGCAACTAACTGATCATTGGATAGTGACCTTAAGCAAGTTAATTAACTTATTTTCCTGTAACATCTATAGGAAAAGCTTATTGGCAATTTTAAACTAGGTATTAAACTAATTGCTTTATCTACATTATCCCATTGGACCCTCAGAGCAATCCTGTGCAGTAGATATGATGATCCAGTTTTACAAATGAAGAGACTGAGCCTCAAAGAGATTCAATGGCTTGTTCAAGTCACAGAGCCAGTGACTAGTGGTGCTGCTATTTTATTTTGTTTTGGTTTATTTTTTTGTTTTGTGTGTTTTTTAAATCTGTAAACAGGAGCACCATGTATCTTTAAATACTAGTATGTGCTGTGCTAAAATGGGAAAGGGAGCTGGAAGAGATGAATTTGGGAAGGGGTGAAAGGAGATAAAGTAAATAATTAGGGGTGGGAAGGAAGCTTTTAGGGAACAGGAAATAAAAGAGTTGAAAGAAATGGGAAAGGCAAAGAGGGGAGATAAAGATGGAAGGAAATAATTATTAGTAGGGAACCATCTAGAAAGAACTACATGGGGTGGAAGAGAATGAGGTTTTATGTCCATTTGTGAGCCATTCTTGGTTTCTTCTCGCCTTTATTCTCTACATCTAATTAGTCACCAAACCCTAAATTTCTTTTGCATGTTTTATCATCATTCACATTGCCATTGCTTTTCCATTGGCCCTCATCACTTACCTTGCCCATAATAAACAGGTACATCTCCCACATTATTGCCAAAGGGATTCTAGCATGGTTCCTGTTTTTCTTTTCTGCCTTTATTTCCTAATACTTCACAAATACTCAATATAATGGTCCCTACAATGGCTCATAATCTCTCACTCCTTTATTCCTTTGAACAGGCTATCCTTTTTCCTTTGCCTATGGAAAAAACCCCTACTTAATCCTTCAAGCCTCACCTTGGAGATCCTCCAGACAATTTGGCTCTGCTCCTCCTGGTTTTCTCCTTTTAAACTGATAGAGCAAATAGTCACAAGGTGGCGGCCTAATGCCAGGGAATTAACTTTGAATCAATGAGCCTGTGATTTCAGTTTTAAATGATAACCTAGCATAGATCTTGGATTGAGGAATTATAGCCTATTTGGTCTAGTAGTTGTTGGACACTGTTTTGTGAAGCTCTGGGTTATTTCTTGTAACTCTATCCCCTATTTTAACCAGCAAAGCTCCGAGTTTTATTTCACATCCAGGGCGTCCAATGTAGTCTATCCCTTTCATTTGACAAATGGGAACTTGGAGCCCAGAGACAGCTTGACTAATGTAGTGGGGCTGATTACGGAGATGCAGCTCGAGAGCCCAGGTTTATTACTTCCAGTTTTGCAGGGCTGCATGTTTTCCAAGGCCATCACAGATCCAAGGGGGTACCCCAAGCATTCTGTTAGAAACTGGGGAAGAGCTTGAAACAGAACATTTTGTTATTTTGCAACAATTTTCTTGGCAATAAAATAATACAGAAAATAATATGGTATATATCCATGCTCTGTATCCATCTAAAATAAGTTCTCTCAAGTTAAGGTCTATGTGTATTTTTCCTATGTCTCTTCCATTTCACCTAGAGTGAATGTCTGCATTTACACTCATTCGCCTTCACCAAACATTTATTGAGGGTCTGTTAAGTGCCAGGCACAGCAGTTTTTAGTTCAAATGAGGTTTGGTTTTCACCCTTGAAAGAAGTCCACTAGAAGGTCCGGTGGGAGAGATAGACATATTAGTAGATAATTTATTATGTAATGTGATAAGTACAGTGAGCTGTGGGAACAAAAAGTGAGCTTGAGTCTGAAATTGCCGGCTTATATTAGAGCACTTTTTGTTTTTTTTTATGTTAAGCCCTCAGAGAGTACTCATTCCTATTGTTGACAACCAAAATTGTCTGTCAGAAGGTAAATGTTATAAGGAGAGGTAGAGCAAAAATAGAGAAGGAAGGAATTTCTGAAGTGGGGAGTGTGCTCTTAATTTTTATCTTATGTATGAATGATGCCATCCAACTCCTCAGTTCTCTTGGTTTGCCCTGTACTTCAGATTACTTTCTATGAAGATAAAAAATTTCAAGGCCGCCACTATGACTGTGACTGCGACTGTACAGATTTCCGCATGTACCTGAATCGCTGCAACTCCATTCGAGTGGAAGGAGGCACCTGGGCTATCTATGAAAGGCCCAACTTCGCCGGGTACATGTACATCCTACCTCGGGGCGAGTACCCAGAGTACCAGCATTGGATGGGCCTCAGCGATCGCCTGGGCTCCTGCAGGGCTGTCCATCTGGTGAGCCTGGTGGCGCTCTCCCTGTCCCTCCCTCACCTGCACTTGTGGCTGGCCCTCTTTTTGATGCTGGACATCCTAGTACACAGACATCTCATTGCAGTTTTTATTTGCATTTCCATGGGAAGGTGTCCAGCCAATTTGTCCACTATTGTGGATAGGAGAACAGGCCTGGGAGCCAGCCAGATGTGGGGTCAACTTCTGGCCTGGCCTCAAGCTTCTGTTTCCTGACCCAGAATCACCTCAGACCTGCTGGGAGCCCTTACTTGGTCCCCCGGTGCTCCTGAATGAGGGCAGTGCCTGTCTAACCTCCCTTCTCCTGTCCAACCCCTTCCCTGAACCTTTCCCTCTGCCCAGCACACCTTCACCCAAATGTCAGAGACAGCCCCTGGGGAGGCCTCCCTGACCCCCTAACCTACTTCGTGTTATGTGAAAGTTTATTTTGAGGTTTTTCTACATCTTAAAGGGAAGCTGTCTTTTTTTGGCTGTGGAGGCTTAAATAAAATCTTAGGTCAGTTCATCTTAAGACTGAATACCCTAATTATTTCCATAGCACTTATGTTACCTCTTGAGGATTTTAAGGAATTAAGTTTTTAAGTCAGCTGCTTCAGTCAGTGCACAGTGGGAATGGGAGTTCGGATCATCTAGATTTCAAGATGGTGGGTTCTGAACCATCCTGTTCTCTCAGTCTCTGACCTGCTGGTGATTTCCATATGGTTACTGTTTGTTTCCTTCTGTGTTTTTTTTTTAGTCTAGTGGAGGCCAGTATAAGATTCAGATCTTTGAGAAAGGTGATTTTAATGGTCAGATGTATGAAACTACTGAAGACTGTCCTTCCATCATGGAGCAGTTCCACATGCGAGAAATCCACTCCTGTAAGGTGCTGGAGGGTGCCTGGATTTTCTACGAGCTACCCAACTATCGCGGCAGGCAGTACCTTCTGGACAAGAAGGAGTACCGGAAGCCCATCGAATGGGGTGCAGCTTCCCCAGCTGTCCAGTCTTTCCGCCGCGTTGTAGAGTAATCACATAGGTGGGCCATAAGTTCCTTCCTGGGTTGTCATCAAATAGGCATCATAAATAAAACAATTGGCATGCACTCCACTGTTGGCTATTGTCTCTCCTTAAACACTCTTAGAGATCAAATAGTATCCACCAGAGTGGGCAGTTACACAAAGCAACTAACTCAAAATGGGTCTGCATGAAAAAGACTACAAAATCATAGTGCCACAATGTTACTAAGTTTTGTGTTAATTCACAGGTACAATAATAATAGCTGCCACTCATTGACTGCTTTTATTATGCCATTTTCTCTTCACAACAATCCTGAAAAAGTGTGGTTCATCTGCATCTTATGAATAAGGAACTGGAAGTTTAGAGAAATTAAAAACTTGCCCAAGTTCACCAACTAGTGAATGACGGGACCAGGATCCTTACGTTTCCAAAGCCCTGTTTTTTTCTCTTTATTTTTTATTCACTCAACACATATTGGCTGGGGATCTGTGTACATCATGTAAGTACACACCCTAGGATAGTGTACCTATCAAATGGAGCTATTACTTGAAAATAGTGCCAAAAGTCTCTTGAAGTCCTTTACAATCCAGAGATTCCTGGGCCCGTTACCTCTCAACCCTCAGTTCAGTTTATCTATAAAAAGAAAGGACATAGTGAAACAGTTTATGCCTACTTTAGAATGGTTGGGATGGAGTTTTATTGAATTCCTTCTTTGAGATTTCACTAGTATTTATTCTTGGAGGAACTGGGGCATCACTAGTAATATTTAGTGAGTATCCCACTGAACTGGGGTACTCTGGATGCACCTGTCTTTAGAGAGATGGCAAAGCTCGTGTCTCCTAGGAGTTTTTCCAGAAAAGGACGAACAGCCGAGGACCCTCCCTTTGTGTACACTTCAGTCTGTACTCCAGTGTGCAGTGCATGCTCTCCCTGAATGCTTTTATTCATTTTGTTAACTTCAGCCCTGCCTTCTGTCATTTCTGTCATTTTGAGGGGAGAACTTTGAGAAATTTTAGTGAAAGTGAGTGAGAAAGACACGGTACACTGAGGAGGAGGAATGGAAGGCCACTTCTGGACCTTGTCACCTACCATGAAGTTAACTTTCCTTATCTCCACACTGAGGGAGGTGAGCTAAATGCTCAAGTCCCATTGAACATAAACTAATTCACTGAAGGCCAGGAGGATGCTGAAAGACTAGTTGATGTCTAAAGACCACTAAGACTTGTTTTTAGAAGCACAATCTCTGGGAATGACCTTGGAGGTCCTGCCTCTCCTTTTCTGCAGAGGATGCTGAGGGTGGGGTAACAGTCAGTGACTGCAAGTCTCTCCTCTCAGACCAACTGCTGCCGTGTTCCAATCCTTGGTGAACTGGTCACAGTCTGTTCAAAACAAGCAGAAAAGCAGTTCCGGCGGCAGCATAGGAAAACAGGCATCAGGATGACTAACCACGGTCTCAGAGAAGTACAAGATGGGTTTTGACAGATAAAACAATTATTTGGGAATGTTGTATGCCTCTTGGTTCATGCCCTGGTGCAGAAAGAGATTGCCACCGTTCTCCCCAGGCATGGACATATTAATTAATCAACTTGCATGAAAAAGGAATTTCACTAGCAATCAACATTATAGTAAAAACAACAACAACAACAAAAAACCAACACTATATGTCTATCAATCAGCCCCAGGTCTGATAAAACATTCTGCCATTAGAGCCAAAAGCACCTGTCATGGACACCCGTGGTTGTTATAAGTAGTATCTCTCTATAGTTTTGCTGATCTAAAATGGAGGAGGAGGTGTCTTAAGAAAATAGGGCAATCACTTACTTAGACCATTATAGTCCCGTTTCCATCCTACGCATTCCTCGGACACAAGTCGTTGAATATTTCCCAAACATAGAGCCCACTTCCTCAAAATGTAATGCCAGGGGCTCTTTAAAGCCTTTATAGTAGTGGAATCTAAAAACAAAACAAATAAACCCATAGATATAGAGAATAGCTGATGGTTAACAAAGGGGAAGAAATTTGGGAGGCAGTATAGGGGGGTTAAATGTGACCAGTTATTTATTCCTTTATTCAAGGAAAATAAAATTTAAAAATAAAAAAAATAAAGCCTCCAGGTAGCGTTGCCAGATTAAGTAGAGGACAGAATTAGTAAATCCCAAGTCAGAGAAGTCAGATATAAACATAGTATAGGTATATCCCAAATTTTGGATGGAATGTACTTACACTAAAACATTATTTGTCATTTGTCTGAAATATAAATTTAACTGCATTCTGTATTTTAATTTGCTAAATATGTCAACCCTATGTTTAAAGGGCAAAGCAAAGAGGTCACATGGTGCTGAAAGGGAGTCAAAATCTTTCATTGAGTCAAAATCTCCCTGTAAGTTTCAACCTCTATTCTAGTTCTGCTTTTCATTTAATTCTTCATTTCCTTTAGGCAAGCATGTCAAACTCAAAGGCTAACATGGGCCAAATAAACAAGGTTTAAGTTTATATGGGGGAGAAACCACGATGGTGGCATAGGGTAGACACCCGAATGCAGCCTACCACAACAAATTTGAATTTAGAACTGAAAAACAGGGGAAACATCACCCTGAAGCGCCGTAAGTCTGGCTGAGAGGAGGCTCTACCATCTGGGAAGGAGAGAGAAGGCATGCTGAACCTCAGGAACTGTGAAGGTACAGAGAACTCTGCGCGTGAAAAGGCAGCTGCCCTACTTCGCTGCCTGCTTGCTTGCGGAGCACGGAGAGGGTGAACTGAGTTCGCTACTAGCTTACTCCCTGCACACGGAAAGGGCGGACAACTAATGCATGGCGGCAAGCTTTCTTGTTTGGGAGGAAAACAGAACCACCCTATTGCACTGATAGACGTCCTCAGACAAGGAGAGGCCAGACTGTCAGGCAGTGGGCAGAGATCTCTCGGAGGTGTGTGAAGCCAGCAGCCATTACTGCGGGACTCAGAAACCAGACCCTCGTAGGGAGGAGCTGAATAAAGCTTGTCTGCACTACCTGACACTCTGCCCCATCCAAGTGGAACACAGAAGCTCTTCCAGTGGCTAGCTTTCTCGTTTGCAGTGAATGGGACTCTCCTAGGGAGTGACATTCAGGAATCTAAAGCTTGTCTGCGCCTATACCAAAGAGGTGCTCGTGCCTGCAACCAATTGTGCAGGATTCAACAAAGCTTGTCTGTGCCACCCTGAGACTCCGCCCCATTCAAGCGGAATACAGAAACCCTCCCAGCTGAGACACTTCTAATCCTCAAAGCCAATTGGCTTGGAGATCAATGCTTCCCAGTGATACCAACAACAAGCAAGGCTTAACAACAAGACTGCAAACACAGCCCACAAAGGGCTATACCAAGACTGTCCACATCAGGTAACTGGGAGGCTGACTCACTAAACCATATAGGACACCTTAGCACAGAAAGCCACCCTACCAATTCAGGGAAGCTGTGAAAATGCTGAGACAAGAAAACAGATCACAAACAAAAGAAATGGAGGGAAAGAAGCAACTGGATATAGAGTTCAAAACCACGCTTATAAGGTTTTTTCAAGAATTTCCTAGAAAAGGCTGATAAAATAAACGAGACCTATGAGGATATGAAAAGGGAACAACTAGAAATAAAGAATACATTGTCTGAAATAAAAAATATTATACAGAGTCCTAAAAACAGAATGGAAGATCGTAAGAATCAAGTCAAAGATTTGGAACACAAAGAGCCAGAGGACACTCCTCCACAGAAGCAAGAAGATAAAAGAATCCAGAAAGTTGAAGATAGTGTAAGAAACCTCTGGGACAATTTCAAACAAGCCAACATCAGAATTATGGGGGTCCCAGAAGAAGAGAGAGAGCAAGACACCGAAAACATACTGGAAGAAATAGTGACAGAAAACTTCCCCCACCTGGGGAAAGAAATAGACTTACAAGTCCAGGAAGTGCACAGAACCCCAAACAAAAGGAATCCAAAGAGGACCACACCAAGACACATCATAATTAAAATTCCAAGAGCAAAAGACAAAGAGAGAATATTAAAAGCAGCAAGAGAAAAGCAGGTAGTTACCTATAAAGGAGCACCCATATGATTGTCAGCTGATTTCTCAACAGAAACCATGCAGGCCAGATGGGAATGGCAAGAAATATTCAAGGTGATGAATAAAAAGAACCTACAGCCAAAAATACTCTACCCAGCAAAGCTATCACTCAGAATGAAAGGCCAGATAAAGAGCTGCACAAATAAAAAAAAGCTAAAGGAGTTCATCACCGCCAAACCAGAATTATATGAATTGCTGAAAGGGGTTCTTTAGGAAGAGGAAGAAGATATAGATAAAAATTATGATCAACAAATACGTAACTATCAACAAGTGAAACTAAAATCCAAGGGAATTAAAAAACCTGATGAACAATATTAACTGTTGAATATAATAGAATCAGAGGTATGGAAGGGGAGTGAACTAACTATTTTGGGGGAAAAGGGGTCTGGGGGGATGTGTGGGAAGAGCCTGAACAAAAACTGTGCACCTATGGATGAGTACAATGTGGGGGGGGGGGTTGAGGAAAAGGCAGAGGGTGGGGTGGGAACCTGGTGGAGGGGAGCAATGGAGGGAGAAAAATGAGGAACATTTGTAATAATATGAACAATAAAGATATATTAAAAAAAAGTTTATGTGGGTTGCAAAAAAACAAAAGCTTCAATTTTCATAGAAACATAGGTTTATTTCAATGGATACATGAATACAAAGGACTGAAATAAATGAGTAATTGTTAACATAAAATAATAGAACATTTTAATAAAAATTAACATTTTTTCTTAAACATTAACTTACCAAACTCTGAGTAACTGCATACACATTAATAAACAAATAAACCTACTTTTCTTGTTCTCCGAAAGCAAAATATTTCCTATTGCGCACCCCAAACAAGTCAGTACAAGACTAATGTCATGGCAGTCGGCTGCTAAAATATTCACTGTTAGTATTAGTGAAGAGAAATGGTACATCTGCAAGTAAGGCACATAAGGGAAATAAATGCAACACGATTATAGTAATATGTCATTAGTGAACATTGTAGTTCATTATTAATAATTTTG